CGCGCCTAGGCATCAGAGCAAGACTCCATTTCAAAAAAATAATAATAATAATAATAAATAAAAACTACAACAACAACAATAACAAAAAGAAATACAAGTGTCAAATGTGTGTAGAAGCTCTAACTAGGATAATTCATTTAGTAAGTTCATTTTTTCTAAGACTTCATGTTGTATTTCAAACAGATTTCAGTGCCCACTGCTCACCCCTAAGTTGGGCTTCTAAATTGAAATTCTGGGACCAAAATGCAAATAATTATGTTGTAATATATTGGGGCAGCAAAGTAACTGATTTAAATATCCCAGCTACTTTTCAGGGAAACCTGGGCTCCTTGGAGTCCCCAAGAAGCCATCATTTGTTGAGCTTCATTTTCATGATGGGAAAGGGTTTTTTTCTTGCAGCACAGTTGTTAGAAAACGCAAGCCATGTTGATGCAAATTTTCATAAGCTGTAACAGAAGCGTCCCTTTCTTAAATGAGTGATCAGTACATAAAACTGAACTACTTTGAATGTGGCTTAGCAAAGCTATTGATGAGCTGTGTGGTCTCAGCCTTCTGTTTTCCCTCAGAGCCTTAAATACACTACTCTCTGTGGCTCTTACAGATCTCAGATGCTGAGAGTCTCTGAGGTTCCTCCACTGAGACTGATGATTGGAAGCTTTCAAATAGGACAGATTTCTGGACCTGACAACAATCCACTGAATTTGTGTCTCTAGGGGAGGGCCCAGGAGCTGCATCTGTAGAAGTTCCCAGGTGCTGCTGTTAGGGAGTTCTGGAGGCAGAGGTGTGGGCCATCAGCCATTCTGCAGTGGACCCCCTGGATGATAAATCCTGAACTGATTTTGATTCTACATGGAGAGATGGACATAAATAAAGCCAAGAGAAAATCTCTGTTAAGCTGAGAAAGTATGCAGTTCTTTCTCAAGACAGACTGAATGGGCTGTGTCTGTAGGAGGAAAAAACTGTAGTATTCTCAAATTCATTTTCTTTGTGATGACTCCTAAACAAATCTGGTGGGAGATTTTCCTGTTGTCATCACAGTTTTGGGGAGGTGGATAGCTTCAATGTCTCATATTTTCACATTAAGAAGGAAAGGCAGAGAGAACATAGTACCATATAAAAATGATAATAACTCTAAAAGCTTCTGTTCTCTAAGGTGGGGCACATTCCAGGAAATTGTAGGAAGGGAACCAGTTCATGGCCATCTGATGGGAGAGGATCTTGTCCCGGAAGGGAGGCGTACCTCAAACTCCTAGACATTAGCCAGAGTAGTCGCTGGGTGTGAACTCCATCTAAATTGCTGGCTTCCTGTCATGTACTTATATCCAGTGCCAAGTTTGAGGATGACTCCTACACCATCTCTCTGGCATCGTGCACAGATATGCACAGGGTGGAGAGAGAAACATGCGATGGGGCCCCAGAGTGTAACACTGACCCAGAGAGGGCTATCCCAGCTTATCTTCAGGCTGCCGGAGACACACCCAAATCTGCAGGGCCAAAAGTCCATGTGTCCAAGTAGACAGAGAAGGATGTAACCTCACCCTTTGGCAGGGTCTCCTGGCTCAGAGAGATAGTGCCAGCAAAGGAGGCAGATGGAAAGTGGTCAGCATCATCTATGGATTAATTAGTACTGTCCACTGGAGCCCAGTCAAATGGAAGGTTGCCCAAGTATCCCCATGGTACTGTGTAGCTAATGTGATAAATGATTTAGACGGCGTACCAGGCATGCTAACATGGATGCAAATGGCCAGCGTGTTTTATCCCTGTCCAGTTATCCCTGGAATTATGTAATTTAAGATCAGAATAAAAGAAAAAGGAAACACAATCAAAGAATCACCAAGCTCTAGCTTTACAAGAATGATACATTTGAAGCCAAAATATAATTTGATTTTGCAATGGATTGAAAAATTGTTCATGCTACCAAGTAGCCCTTTGTTGGTGAAATAGTCTCAGGTGTGCAAGGTGTCAAATACTACACCTATGGATAACTTCCTGAATGAACTATTAAAGATGACACAAAGATAAAAATGAGAGGTTGGGAGGGATGTTGTTAAAAGACTGACAGTGTGCACTGAGATCAATTAAACATATATAATCACTGTACTTTGATTACAAAATGTACTAAACTAGAAAAAGTCCTTGTCATAGATTATCTGTATTATTAAAAAAAAACCAAAACCAAAAACAAAAACAAAAAACCAGAACAAAATGTGAAACAAGCAAACAAGACAAATAAAACAATTTTTTTTTTTTTTTTTTTTTTTTTTTTTGAGACAGAGTCTCGCTCTGTCCCTCAGGCCAGAGTGCAGATGCACAATCTCAGCTCACTGCAACCTCTGCTTCCCGGGGTTCAGGCGATTCTTCTGCCTCAGCCTCCTGAGTAGCTGGGACTACAGGCATATGCCACCATGCCTGGCTAATTTTTGTATTTTTAGTAGAGACAGGGTTTCGCTGTGTTAGCCAGGATGGTATTGAACTCCTGACCTCATGATCTGCCTGCCTCGGCCTCCCAAAGTGCTGGGATTGCAGGCATGGGACACTGCGCCCAGCCATAAAAACAATTTTTAAAAGCAGGCTATAGGCCAGGCACAGTGGCTCACGTCTGTAATCCCAGCACTTCAGGCAGCTGAGGCGGGTGGATCACCTGAGCTTAGGAGTTGGAGACCGACCAGCCTGGCCAACGTGGTGAAACTCCATCTGTACTAAAAATACAAAATTTAGCCAGACATTGTGGCTCGTGCCTATAGTCCCAGCTACTTGGGAGGCTGAGATGTGAGAATTGCTTGAACCTGGGAGGCAGAAGTTGCAGTGAGCTGAGATCGTGCCACTGCACCCCAGCCTGGGTGACAGAGTGAGACAACATCTCAAGAAAAAAAAAAAAAGCGGGCCATAATCCCAATAACAATAATGGGGTGAAGATGTCACTTAATTTCTTATATTCTATAAAACAGTTCAATTTATTATTTTACAGCATAAATAGATATGTATGGGCGTAAGAATGGCTTTGAAAGGTTTTGTTCCCTCTGATAGAATTTAATGGAAGGTATAGATTTTCCATTGTACTATACAGTGTAATGGCAAAGAAAATCCAGCATATATGGTAATCGCGGAGATAGGGCTCTTAAAATGTAGAGGAACAGACCAAATGGTGGTGCATGTGAAACATCCAGTAACATGAGCTCTGACATTATAAATGAGGAGCGTTATAATTAAGATGTTTTCTAAGCCAGCGTAGATTTATGCTTACCCTTCTGATAAGAGCTCTGCCTGGCATTTGGAGCTACAGCTAGCATGCCGTGCTAAAGCTGATCGCACCCTCACCCATCTTATCTATGCTAATGCCCACAGGAAATGAAAGATACCACGCTTCTGTAATCTCACCCATGGATACATCTTTTGATGAGGAAGAAGGCAAGGGCTGATGCAGGCAATACAAGTTATGAACATTTCTGTAAGCAGTGCAATAGCATCCCCAGATACCACGTCATTTCTTTATTTCACCATTTCTTTTGAGCAATGACATTGGGTTTTCGAGAGAAATACCCTTGCTCCATTTAAACCAGCATTGTTTGCCATAAGGTAGCCAATAAACAAGCAACCGACCTAGCAATAAAAACATCCATTGGTGACAGAAGCTATAAATAGAACTGCAATAAGGTGATGTAATAGAGTGCTATCCTAGCTGGGTGGTGAAGGTGACACTCTAAGAGATTGCAACTGGCAAAATTCCAAACAAGTGCCAGCCAGGTAGGTAGAAAGGCAAGGAAGAGCATTCCAGGCAGAGGGAAGAGCTGATGCAAAGGTAACAGGCAGGGAAGGATCCTGCCATCGAAGAAGAACCATGGAAAGTGTGGAGGACCAGAGACAACACAGAGCATGGCTGGAGAGGAGAACAAAATGTGTTCAGAGATGGAAGCTGAAGTCAGGCTTACCTTGATAAGCCGGGATGGGACTTTAGATTGTGTTTGCGTTTTGTAGGTCCATCAGTAAGGTTTACACAGAGGACTGCCATGATCTCATTCCAATGTTGTAAAAAATCATGAAAATGTGGAGACCACAATTTAGTGGGCTCTGGGAGACAGGAACAGAATCCAGGAGGCAGGGTAGGAAGCCACTTCAGAAGCTGAGGTGTGAAAGACTCTGCCTTACACCAGGATGGTAATGGTGGAGATAGAAGGAGATGAGTTGAGGGCATGTTTTGGAGGCAAAGATAATAAGACTTGTTGAAGAACCAGATACAGGGAGTGAGAAAAGAAAGGTGATGAAATCTGGGGAAGGAGCAGGTTCACAGGGTAGGAATTGTTTTAACTGTGTTGAGCTGGAGAGGGCAATCACGCATCCATGGGAGATGCCAATTATGTAGCAGACACAGTGTCGGGAGTTGGGGGGAGGGGGAGACAAACAATGTGGAAGTCATTTGCCAATGGATGCTTTTAAAAGTCCTGGCACTAGACAAGGATTCGAGTGCGGTCAGAGAAGAGAGATGAGTCCAGGATGGAGAATCACATCAAGGGAACAGTCCAGGGAGAGCCAGGAGGCGGCATCCAGTGAATAAACCAAGAAGGAACAGCAGGGAGGAGAGAGGGAGACCAGGAGAACATGGTGATGAAGACGCCAAGACAGGGAGGCGTTTCCAGAAGGGAAGGCATCTGTCTGTGGTGTGCTAAGAAGCTGAAGTGATGATACCAGCAAAATGGACAGTATCACCACTCATTTGAATGAGAGAAAAACATGCAAAGTTGACATCTGATTACAACATGAGGTTGATATCCACTTAGTCTTCGAAGGAATATATACTCGGTTCCTTTCATAAGGAATTTTACAAGGGGATTTAGAAAAATAGGCAAGTGCTGCAAGTTGAAAGAAAAATACTTCATTTAAAAGTTCACTTTAAAAAGTTGGAAAAGCCAAATCTCTCCCCCTTATAATTAAAACACACATAGACAGACACCCACACACACATGCACAGAAAGAGATTTGTAAATAGGTGTTTTAATACTCACATATTTATAAGGCACTTCATATCTTGATAACATCTGCACGGTGTGATTTACCTGCAAGCAAATTTGGAAAGGATGTTATAAGAATCGGACCAGATACACAAGGGTGTGTCCCTGTGTACCATGTGTGGCTGTCATCCCTCAGTGTACTGTGGCAGCAGAGGCTGAGACAGTCACTCTGGGGTGGTGCCCAGGTGTGGCCCTGGAGCCCTCTCAGTCCTGGCCAGCCACTCTGTGCTGTGAGCTGAGTGGAGTCTGTAGTGGGAGGCTGGTCTCACCTCTGGAGCTGATGGTTTTGCCATGGTTTTTTTTTTCTTACCAGTTTGACCTGTTTTCGCTTTTAGACAACAGGTAAGCTCTGTGGGGAATTTCTCTAGTTTCTGCATCAAGCATATCATCATTATGATATTAACATCAGATGGAGAATGATAGTAGCATGGCCAACTACTCCAATGGGCTGCCAATGGGCTGGCAGCGCCATAACTTCTGCCCCAGCCTGCCCTCTCGTCCACCATCATTTGCCACATAGCATGAGCCGAAAGATGCATCCTGTCAGTAGAACATTTGAGTTAATTTATTTATAGCAGATGCACCAAAATGACAAAATTGTTTCTTCATAAGTGAAATAATAACCTGAGAAAGAGAGAAATGGCATCATTCAGAGCTAGGGAAATAGAAGTGAAGACAATTATAAGTAAACTTCAGGCATTCCTCTTCCGTGGAAAATGTTAATGTCTTTTGCCAGCATTAGAAAATATATTTGCAACGTTTACAGCATCCACAAAGTAATTAAGCTCCTGGCCATATAAAAATTGCTCACATTGACTTTGCTCCAACTGTGTGCTTTTGGCCCCAGGAAATGAGATTTGAGGCCTAAACCTGAAGCCAGTCAAGTTATTAAGGGCTACTTAATGGCACATCTAATTATGCATAGAAAAATGTGTTTCCAGAATTGCATCAAGCAGAGCTAACAGTGACCATAATGGCATTAATATAGATAAAAAAGCTTTACATGTGAGAAGATCCATCATTATGTCATCTATAATGGCAAAAACAAAAGAAAACAATAAAAACAGGGGAATGCATACATTATGGCATAGCTATGTATTGGAATATTATGCAGATGGAGGATTTTTGTGGACTATTTTAGGTTATGGGAAAATATTCATTATATAATAATACTTTTCTTTTTGAGATGGAATCTCACTCTTTTGTCCAGGCTGGAGTGCAGTGGCACAATCTTGGCTCACTGAAACCTCTGCCCTACAGGGTTCAAGCAATTCTCCTGCCTCAGGCTCCCAAGTAGCTGAGATTACAGGCGCCCACCACCATGCCCGGCTAATTTTTGTATTTTTAGTAGAGACAGGGTTTCTCCATGTTGACCAGGCTGGTCTCAAACTCCTGACCGCAGGTGATCCACCCCCCTCAGGCTCCCAAAGCGCCAGGATTACAGGCATGAGCAACTGCACCTGGGGAATAATACCTTTTTTAAAAAAAGCAAGAAAGAGCAGCATAAAAGATGGCAGGAAATATACCAACAGGTTAACAAATGTTATTGCAAAATGGAGGGAACATGGATAATGGGTTTTTATTCTTTTCTGTATTTCCTAAAGTGTCAAGAATGAATGTATGTTTTATAAATCAGATGGTGCCATCTTAGGATGGTGATATGGTTTGGCTATGTCCCCACCCAAATCTCATCTTGAATTGTGGTTCCTGTAATCCCCATGTGTCGTGGGAGGGACCTGGTGGGAGGTAATTGAATAATGGGGGTGCGTTGTTCCCATTACTGTTCTCATGGTAGTGGATAAGTCTCATGAGATCTGATGGTTTTATAAATGGGAGTCCCTCTGCACACACTCTCTTGCCTGCTGCCATGTAAGATGTGCCTTTACTTCTCTTTCACCTTTGGCGATGATTGTGAGGCCTCCCCAGCCATGTGGAACTGAGTTCATTAACCCTCTTTCCTTTATAAATTACCCACTCTCAGGTGTGTCTTTATCAGCAGAGTGAGAACAGACTAATACAGATGGCTTCTTGTTGCAAGGGAAAAACATCCCAAGCTCGAAAAGGGATCTGCATAGCCACCCCTGCCTGCTTCCTTCCTCATCTCATTCTACCCTCCCCTTCCCCACAAGTCATGGGCCTCCTTTCCATTTCTCCCCATGAGGGAAGCTCTGTACCAAGAAGGCCACACACCTGCTGTTACCTCTGCCCAGAGCAGTGTCCCTAAGCTCCTCTGCCCTGCTCCTCATCTTTGACTGGTGGCTCCCTCTCATCCTTAAATTCCTTGGAGGATCTTTTCTCTGCCTCCTCATCTGAAAATACCTGTCCTTTGCCCCATGTCTTCCGCAGCACAAGCCCAGCTCCACCTGTGTGCTCCCTTGGTCCTTGTCTTTTGCTGACCTATAGGCTCTTTGCTCATTTTTCCCACCACTATGGTAGCAGGTGGCAAACAGCAAGCGTTCAACACACATTTGTTGAACAATTTACATGTATGACAAGTAAAGCAATATACTTTAAAATCAACTGTATTTTCTAACAGTTTTAGATTTACAGAAAAATTGCAAATACAGAGTTCTCATATACTCACATCTAATTTTTTCTCTATCATTAACATTTTATATTAATATGATTTATCACAACTAATGAACTAATATTGATACATTATTACTCACTACAGACTGTGCTTTATTGATGCTTCCTTAGTTTTTCCCTGCCTTTTTTGTTCCAGGATCCCATCTAGGATCCCACATGACATTCAATTGCCCTAGCTCTGCAGGATTCTCTGGGCTGTGACAATTGTTCTGACTTTCCTTTTTTTTTTTTTTTTCTGAGACATAGTTTTGCTCTGTCACCCAAGCTGGAGTGCAGCAGCATGACCTCGGCTTACTGCAGCCTCCACTTCCCAGGTTCAAGCGATACTCCTGCTGGAGTAGCTGGGATTACAGGCACATATCACTGGACCCAGCTAATTTTTGTAATTTTAGTAGAGATGGGGTTTCACTATGTTTGCCAGGCTGGTCTCGAACTCCTGACCTCAAGTAATCTGCCCACCTTGGCCTCCCAAAGTGCTGGGATTATAGACATGATCCACTGCACCCAGCCTTTTCTTGTTTTTGATGACCTTGACTCCTTTGAGGAGTGTTGGTTAGGAGTTTCATAGGATGTCCCTCAGTTTTGGTTTGTTTGGGGTTTTCCTGACACAGACTGGGGTTAAATATAATTTTAGTATACAACTCAATGTCTTTGAACGGTGTATTAGTGTTCTTCAGAGAAACAGAACCAACAGGATCTATGTACATAGATATATCTGTATATCTATGTCTATCTATAGACAGAGGTGGGGGAGAGAGCGAGCGAGCTTTATTTGAAGGGATTGGCTCCCTCAATTGTGGGGACTGACAAGTCTGAAATCGGCAGGGTAAGCTGGCAGGCTGGGGCCTCAGAGAGCGGATGCTGCAGCTCATGTCCGAAGGCAGGGTCTGGAGGTAGAACTGGCTTTTCAAGTTTTCAGGAGGATCTCAGCCTTTTTCTCCTTTTTTTTTTTTTTTTTTTTGACAGAGTTTCACTTTCGCCCAGGCTGGAGTGCCGTGGCGTTATCTCGGCTCACTGCAACCTCTGCCTCTTGGGTTCAAGTGATTCTCATGCTTCAGCCTCCCATGTAGCTGGGATTAGAGGCACGCACCACCACTCCTAGCTAATTTTTGTATTTTTAGTAGAGATGGGTTTTCACCATGTTGGCCAGGCTGATCTCGAACTTCTGACCTCAGATGATCCACCCGCCTCAGCCTCCCAAAGTGCTGGGATTACAGGCATGAGCCACCATGCCTGGCCCTCAGGCTTTTTCTCCTAAGACCTTTGGATTGGATGAGGCTCACCCACATTACAGAGGATTACTGGCTGCACTCAAAGTCAGGATGATTTAAATGTTTTTTGTTGTTGTTGTTGTTTATTTGTTTGTTTTTTGAGACGGAGTCTTGCTCTGTCGCCCAGGCTGGAGTGCAGTGGCATGATCTCAGCTCACTGCAAGCTCCGCCTCCCAGGTTCACGCTATTCTCCTGGCTCAGCCTCCTAAGTAATTGGGACTACAGGCGCCCGCCACCCCACCTGGCTAATTTTTTGTATTTTTAGTAGAGACAGGGTTTCACCGTGTTAGCCAGTATGGTCTTAATCTCCTGTCCTCGTGATCTGCCCGCCTCGGTCTCCCAAAGTGTTGGGATTACAGGCGTGAGCCACCGTGCCAGGCCAGGTGATTTAAATGTTAATCACACCTAAAAAGTACCTTCCCAGCAGCATCCAGATTGGTCTCTGACCAAACATCTGGGCACCATAGCCCAGACAAGTGGAGACGTCAAATTAACCTCTGTCAAGGGTGGCCCCCAGAAGTGTGGTTCCAAACAAGAGAGCAAGGGACAGAGCGGGGGCTGTGGGTGGGAAGGAAGGTCTGTCAGTAGCAGCACCACCCAGTTCAGGAACAGAAAGCTGCTGCCTGGTTGTTAACCTCTGAACTCCATGGCTGCAGGCCCCGAGTTAAACTGCTCCTTACTAACCGCAAACCAAACAGGACGTCAGCCTGCTTGCAGTGCAGAGGCTACGAGGAGATAATATTTATAGAGAATTCTTTGATTTCCTGGAGAAAAGTCGGAATCTGAATTGACGGGAATATAACTTCAGAATATGTAGACTCTTGCCGGGCGTAGTGGCTTATGCCTGCAATCCCAGCACTTCAGGAGGTTGAGGTGGGTGGATTGCTTGAGTTCAGGAGTTCAAGAACAGCCTGGGAAACATGGTGAAACCCTCTCAATATTAAAAAAAAAAAGAAAAAAAAAAAATAGCCGGGTGTGGTGGTGCATACTTGTAGTTCCAGCTACAGGTTCTGGGACTGTTTTGCCCGCCTCGGCCTCCCAAAGTGCTGGGATTACAGGCTTGAGCCACCGCGCCCGGCCAGATGGAGGATTTTTGTGGACTATTTTAGGTTATGGGAAAATATTCATTATATAATAATACTTTTCTTTTTGAGATGGAATCTCACTCTTTTGTCCAGGCTGGAG